TGGAGCATCCACCCCACATCATGCTGGAACCACCCTGGGGGTCTTTCCACCCCCCATGGCCATGCCCTTCCTTGGGGGGACACACTGCTTGCAGGAGAGGAAGCAATGTGAGCTGCCACCTGGACTCTACACCTAAGGAAGGGACACGAGCTGCCTGCCACCCCACAGAGCACAGCCAGGGCAGGACTCACTCGGTGAAGGGTCCATACGGCAGGCGCAGGGGGGGCCGCTCCATGTCACTCCGCATGGGGTACTTGCCCTCCTGCCGTAGCAGCTGCTCCAGCACCACCGGGCTTCCGATGTTGATGTTCTCATAATGCCCAAAGGTCGACTTCCAGATGGGGCCGTAAATGCGCCGGGACATCAGCTGCGATGAACCAGAACACGGCAGGGTGAATGGGACAGGGCCAGCGCTGAGGCTGGATCAGTCCCTCCCTGGTGCTGCCATGCATGTGTCCAGCATGCTCTGCACCCACCTCAGGGAGCCCTCAGCACCAGCTGTGCCCAAGCACCCGTCTCTGACCCCCTCAAGCTGGCACCATCCTTGAAACAATCTGCAGATGGCTTGGGCTGGCATCTCCAGGCATGTGTCCTCAGCCAGCACTAAGCACACAAGACACCGACCCCCGGCACAGGCTGGTACATCCCTCACCCACCGCGGAGATGCATGGAGGGCCTGGTGGGTCTTTTGGGGAAGCAAGATCAAGAGGGGATGTCAGGGACAATTGCCAAGCACAGTGCTCTGCTGAGATGCTGGGCCATCGCAGTGGCTGTCGGGAGGCCCAAGCCCTGCTGCTTTCAGCATGGCCCCAGCTCTGCTCAATGTGGGGACAACAGTCCTTGCGTGGGTCCTTGAACCCACCACCTGATAAGGGTGGTTAATGATCAGCAGTGGAAGGGCAGCGCCAGGCTGGGGCAGGACTGGGATGCTCCCAGGGCAGGCTGCCACCCCTGGGGCATGGCCCTAGGGCCACGGGCTCACAAGCCAGCTAGGGGACATCCACCAGCATCAGCCCTGCTCTGGGCTCTGCCGGCCACAGCTCCCCTCTCTTTGACTGCACCCGAGGGTGCCATGCCTGCCTCCCCGCTGGGGAGCACCATGGTCCCCAAGTGCATCCCTCGGGGGCAGCCGGGCGCCCCTTTGCAAGTGGATCTGCACAGGGCCATGTCCAAGGGGTGCTTTCCATCCCATCCAGGCACTGCCAGAGCTCCTGCGGAGCGGAGCCAAACCTGGGGGGCTGCAGGGGACCTAGCACAGAAGCCCTGGTCCCCATTCCCCGCGGCTGCGGGGATACACGTGGTACAATCTCCCTTGGTGACTGACTGCATCGCAGCCTGCGCCCGGATTCAGCTGGATTCGTCACCACGGGGAGACGTTCCTTGTGCGTGGTGGCAGGAGGAGGGGGAGGGACGGCCGCCCCAGTGCCGCAGGCGGCTTGCCAGGCGAACACGCTG